TTTTTTAGAGACAAGGTCTTGCTCTGTCACCTAGGCTGGAGTGCAGTGGCACGATTATACCTCACAATAACCTTGAACTCCTGGGCTCAAGCAATCCTCCTGCCTTAGCCTCCCAAATAGCTAGGACTACAGGCGTGAGCCAACACACCCAGCTAATCCAATACTATCTTAAAATAACATTAATAAACTGCTATATTATCCTCACTCTATTTCTGTCCCCATCTATTATTTAGATCACCTACATCAAAGAAATGAAGATGGTATTTTATTGTTTTCCTACATGTAAACAATATGTTTAGGGGAACTTTCAACAAAGTTGAAACTGGCAAGATTTTATTCCCCAAAATGCCAAAGAACGAATATCCTCCTTGCTGAAGGTTAAAGAGAAATAGTGATGATTAAACTATGGTAGAATACGAATTCTAGTAACACTGCTTTTTCTAGAGTATTTGTAAAAAATAATAAGAGTTTTGTCAATTAATTGAATATTAAATAGTACATGACTGCTTCTAAGATGTTCTCGAATTTATAGGTTGGAATACTGAAGTTAATGGGTTTAGCTACAAAATAAATGTAGTTTGTATGTTTGACTTTTATCAATAATACTGAGAGAACTTAATACTTTAATACAAGTCCCCACAACACCCCTGTGAGGTAGGTATTGCTTATACCCACTTTACAGACAAGAAGTCAGAAAGTCAACAAGAGGTAACAATTTCAAGAGTTATAAATCAAGAAGTTTTGGTTTTCTTATATGGTAGACTGTACTAACTAGATACTGAATTATGATGATATGCTAAATAAGGACAAATACTAAAACAGTCTCTATTTTTCTCCAGAAAACAAGTCTATGTAGGATCTGGAAAGAAAGGAAAATTTTAAGCTGATCCAAGGGGAAAATGTCTGTTTAGTATTTGCCTGATAGACTGGTGAAAGTGCATATGGCATTTCCAGTTTTAAGCTTGGCAATCATGCAAACCACACTATATTATTAGGTGGCTGGCTAAAAGTATAGCTCCATTTTGCAGATGATGCAGTTAAAACTAAAGGTTTTAGCTGGAAAAACTTTTTAAATACAAAGTAGATTTCTCAGTAAGGAATCAGGAATCATGTTTTTAAAGAAATAACACGCAAGGCACAGTATTAGTCATATGACAGTTACTTTAAAAAATGCCTGCAGAATGAATGGGGAAAAAAAAACAAAACTTGGGTCCTACACCATTCATTGCCTCTCCAGAATTAGGCCTTTGGGATTTTTTTCCTATAAAATGAAGTTAACATTTTCCCACTTCCTAAAACAGAATGTTATGAGGACTAAGGTAAGAGCATTTGCTTTGAATTTCTAATATTAAAAGGAACAATATGAATAAGACTAGAAATATAGTTAACTACTATTTCCTTAACACTCAACAAACATAGATATATTTCTGCTTTAAATCATTGTCAATCATGGCCAGTCAGCCACAGGCAAGCAAATTTACCATTTCTCCAGATTCTCCAGCCCTAAAGTGCTGCTTACTACACCACCCATATACACCTCTACTCCCACCCTTTAGCTACACAAAGACTTCCTGTGTCAAGGACTAATGCCTGGGCAAATAGGGAAGGATATAAAGGAGAAATATCAGAAAAATTATTTTAATAAGAATAAAATTTGACTTGAAAAGGCCAGGTAATCAATCCCAAATAGGCTAAAATACATTTAAAAAAAAATCAGTGTTAATATTTTGTGTTCTTTCTATGAGATGAAATCTTTGAAGGCAGTAGGAGTTTGAACTGCTTAAGTGAATTGGTAGAAAATGTTTAAGATTAGATGAAGTACTTACCACATAGAGAACACATTTGTTTTAAACAATTCCAATATACAACTGAGCCTATCAACAGCTAGTTAGATTTTGCTCTCAACACACATCAGTCTTGATCCCAGGAGGCTTTATTCACTTGTCTAAGTAAGAAACTCAACTGCCTTAGAAAATGCCTTGTAGTTTTCTTCATTCAGCCTTCAAGAAAATATGAATCGCTTTGTAATTCACCTAAATTTACTGTTTACCCAGAGAAAACCTTTGTGTCCTTGGAATTAGCTGGATTACTCTTTCAGCTCCCTCCTGACCAAACACCGATGATACTGAATGTATAAGGAAATGTGTTCACTCAGGAGGGAGTTCAAAAGTTTTGTGCGCAGTTAAATTCTAAGCCTCACAAACCAAATTTATTAGATGTTTTCAAATGTCTGTGAAGTTTAGAATTTAATAGGGCAGCATACAAAAAAGATAAGGCTGTTGTGGAGCCTCTCTCTTTTGTTATCCTTGATTATCTAGTATTTGAAATTTAAACATTTAAGAAATAAGTTAGATCTATCCTTTGTTTGACGAGCTATTTCCTAGGCACATAGAGCAGGAGATTCTATCATTTATTCCATAAACTTTACTTTTTCTAGAGTTTTAGCTTTGTAAGTGTCACCATTATAAAAGGGAGTTAAGGCCAGGCACGGTGGCTCACGCCTGTAATCCTAGCTCTCTGGGAGGCCGAGGCAGGCGGATTGCTCAAGGTCAGGAGTTCAAAACCAGCCTGAGCAAGAGCGAGACCCCGTCTCTACTATAAATAGAAAGAAATTAATTGGCCAACTGATATATATAGAAAAAATTAGCCGGGCATGGTGGCGCATGCCTGTAGTCCCAGCTACTCGGGAGGCTGAGGCAGAAGGATCGCTTGAGCCCAGGAGTTTGAGGTTGCTGTGAGCTAGGCTGACGCCACGGCACTCGCTCTAAAAGGGAGTTAAGTTTATTTATGAAGGGAAAGCTATCATCATGGATTTTAAACATAGTTATAGAATACTGAATTGGTATCCACTTTGCTGGTTTTATAGAACAGAAAAAGTGAAAACTGTGCTACTAAAAATTACCTTTTCTTTCTTTTTTAAGAAATGGACTCTTGCTATGTTGCCCAGGATGGCTTCAAACTCCTTGGTTCAAGCTGTCCTCCTGCCTCAGCCGCCCAAGGTGCTGGGACTACAGGCATGTACCACCGCACCTGGCTTAGAAATTACTTTTTCAAGTGATTTTTAGAAAATTAATACCAACCCAGGAAGCCTAGACAATCCTCTGGCACTAAGGGTAGAAAGATGATTTATATTTTATCATTTTCCTGTTTAAACTCATGTAAACCTCTTATTATACAAATCTCATATTGCTCTTCAGGTCTCTAGAAAAACACTCATGACTCAGGTATCAACCCTGGGATGTTAATGCAGTTCTAGCTGAATTTCTGTCTCTATGTGTTTATCTATTTGTATGTATATTACTGCTTCTCTCGTAAAGATTTTTTTTTTAATCTTTGGACTATTCTCCTTTTCTCTCTTTTAACTACAATTTTTTTTAATTAAAAATGAGGCTGGGTGCAGTGGCTCACGCCTGTAATCTTAACACTCTGGGAGGCCAAGGTGGAAGGATCGTTTGAGCTCAGGAGTTCAAGACCAGCCTGAGCAAGAGTGAGACCCCATTTCTACCAAAAAATAGAAAAAATTAGCCAGGCATAGTGGTACATGCCTGTAGTCCCAGCTACTTGGGAGGCTGAGGCAGGAGGATCACCTGAGCCCAGGAGTTTGAGGTTGCTGTGAGCTAGGCTGACACCACAGCACTCTAACCAGAGCAACAGAGTGAGACTCTGTCTCCAAAAAAAAAACCTAGGAGGCCAAGGTGGGAGGATAGCTTAAGGTCAGGAGTTCGAAACCAGCTTGAGCAAGAACAAGACCCCATCTCTACTAAAAATAGAAAGAAATTAATTGGGCAACTAAAAATACATATAAAAAATTAGCCGCGCATGGTGGCACATGCCTGTAGTCCCAGCTACTCGGGAGGCTGAGGCAGTAGGATTGCTTGACCCCAGGAATCTGAGGTTGCTGTGAGCTAGGCTGATGCCACCGCACTCTAGCTCAGGCAACAGAGTGAGACTCTGTCTCAAAAAAAAAAAAAAGAAAGAAAGAAAGAAAAAAGACCGGAAAAAAATAAATAAATTTAAAAAATGAGGTATACACAATGTTAAAAAATAAATAAAAGCAAATGTAAGATATTGCAGACCTAGTGAGTGAAAGGTAAAACTAGTCATGATTTGGTATAACTATGTTTTACAACAAATTTTTTATACATTATAACATATAATTCTGCATTAAAATGGCTAAAATATTTGTGAATAATCTTCAAAGGGGTTTGAGTCATGTGAAATATAAGCCAAAAGTGATAGTTCAGAATACTTTTTTTTTTTGAGACAGAGTCTTGCTCTGTTGCCTGGGCTAGAGTCCCATGGTGTCAACGTAGCTCACAGCAACCTCAAACTCCAGGGTTCAAGTGACCATCCTGCCTCAGCCACCCGAGTAGTTGGGATTACAGGCATGTATCACCAGACTCAGCTCATTTTTCTATTTTTAGCAGAGACAGGGTGTCGGCTCTTGCTTCGGCTGGCCTCAAACTTCTAAGCTCAAGCGATCCTCCTGCTTCAGTCTCCCAGAATGCTAGAATTACAGGCATGAGCCACCGGTGCCTGGCCTAGCATATTCTTTTTTTTTATTTTATTTTTTTTATTTTTAGTGCAGTTGTGTGTTTGTAATATATTCTTTAAAACAGATTTCCTTTACTTTATATTTAATTTGATTTTACTGACTCTACAACCTGAAAAAACTTAGAAATTCTATAAGTAACTATTCACTCTAAAGTTTCCATATTTCTATGTTGATTTCTGATTTCTAAACTGTGATTTATGAAAGTTCATATTTTAATAGCTATGTATTCATATGTCTTATAATAAAAAGACCTAATACTATGCTTGCTTTGGCAGCACATATACTATAACTGGAACGATACAGGGAAGATTAGCATGGCCCCTGCATAAGGATGACACGCAAATTTGTGAAGTGTTCCATATTTAAAACAAAACAAAACAAAGACCTAACACATACAACCTTAAAGCTATGGATAAATCACAAAGAAAAATAATCAATGGGGGACTTGAGGATGAAAATACTTTAGGAATAAAAAATGCCATGTGAATTTTCTTTTTCAGAATTGGTGTAAAAATTCTGAAGGAGAAACTGCTACTCAACTAGGATAGCCTCCACATTTTCTTGTGTGAGCTCTGACTCTAAGGCACAAGGCACATCTAAATGTTCTTGTGACAACCGAGAACTTTTCAGGGAGATGTCAGACCAGTTGTCACAATATGGCTGAAATCTCTGGCCCAATGCATTACTAAACCTTTGGCATCGATTATATCTGTAAGGTTTACCTTTGTGTGTAAACATGTGTTCCAACAATTGGCTCTTTCGAAGAAACTTATGACCACACACGGTACAGCTGATTTTTCTTTTCCTTGAAAAGGAAAAATTACAGTTTAATTCTACTGGCTCTGTGTCTTTGGAGATCAAAGATACTTGACTGATCTGCAAAGGCTCTGTGGTACCCCGGGTTGAGTGGTCAGGTTGCTGATCATTCTCCTTGACGATGAAGGAGCTGAGCCTGCGGCATTCAAGAGCCTCGTTATTTTCATTAAGTGGATGTACTTCACCAAGGTCATTACTTTCCAGAATGGAAGCAGGGACACCAAATGGGAGGGATCCAGACACATGTGTATGGAGATGTTGTCTCAGGTTACTACGGGAATCAAAACGTTCCCCACAGTAATGGCATAAGTGTATTTTGATACTGTTTTCAGTAAAAGGGTGGCCTGTTACCTCTGATGGGGGTGAAGGATGGTTCTGGGAGATCACTGATTCCGGGTCACATCTCTCCTGCTTGATGGACACTGGGGGCTTCTGGTGCTCCTCCAAGGTCTGGGTAGCAGGATGGGCCCTCTGCTGGTCTGCAGTGCCATCATCCAGCCCAATAGCAAGAGAGAGCTGCAACTGGGGGTGGTCACCCTGGACAGCGGCTCTGTTTCCACTGTTATTGGAAGTAGCTTCTTTGACCTCCAGCCCTTGTTTGACAACTGGTTTTTGGGTCGTTGAGATCTGAATGCCATACAAATTTGAGGACTGCACAGTCTCTGGTGAGAACACTTGATTCATTTCAGTTGCAATGTGCGAAAGGTAGTCGGCATGAAGAAATCGAATCCCTTCCTCCAAACGACTATGATCCACAATCTGTTTTGGCCCTTTCCCCGTGTACATAATGTGCAACAAATAGCTGAATATGTCAGGTTGGATATCAGTTGGTTGTATTTTTATGCATTCACTGTTAAAAACAAAAACAGACCCACAGAAAATGAAACATAACCTAGTTGGCCTTTTAGTTTACAGCATTTTCTTAGGCTAAAGCAATTTTTTCCTAAGAAGTTCAAACTTAGCAATCCGCCTTGACGAAACATGACCACAAAAGCTTAAACCTTCAAACTTTCATTTTATAACAGTTTTACGGCCCAACAGTAAGTCTTTTTCTCTCTCTCTCTCTCTTTTTTTTCTCAGAGTGAATTTCCAAGTTACCAACAATAAGTCTTGATGTATTCAATCTACTGCCTCCAGTTATGAAACACAAATATTCTGATTAGTTCAACATTAACACTAATCGAGTGACTCCTAAGTGATGTGTACTATACTAGGTGCCAGGAGGTAGAAAAATAACGAATAAAATAGGTACCCTGCTCTTAAGGAATTTAACAGTCATATAATACTCAATAGAGTATTATAACCAAAAGTACTGAAAACAGGTACTCAAATAGATACCTGTATGCCAATATTCACTGCAGCATTATTGATAGTAGCCAAAAGGTAGAAACAACCCAAGTGTTTCAAAAGATAAATGAATTGGCTGGGCGCCGTGGCTCACACCTGTAATCCTAGCACTCTGGGAGGCCGAGGCGTGCAGATTGCTCAAGGTGAGGAGTTCGAAACCAGCCTGAGCAAGAACAAGACCTGTCTCTACTACAAATAGAAAGAAATTAATTGGCCAACTAATATATATAGAAAAAATTAGCTGGGCATGGTGGCACATCCCTGTAGTCCCAGCTACTTGGGAGGCTGAGGCAGGAGGATTGCTTGAGCCCAGGAGTTTGAGGTTGCTGTGAGGTAGGCTGATGCCACGGCACTCACTCTGGCCTGAGTAACAATGCGAGACTCTGTCTCAAAAAAAAAAAAAAAACCAACAAAAGATGAATAAATAACCAAAATGTGGCATATACATATAATGGAATATTATTCAGCCAGAAAAAGGAATGAAGTTCTGATACATGCTACAACATGGATGAACGGAAAACCCTGAAACATTATGCTAAGTAAAATAAGCCAGACACAAAAGGACAAATATCATATAAAATATAGAGAATAGGCAAATTAATAGAGACAGAAAGTAGATTAGGTTTCTGGGAGCTGAGGGTGAAGGGATGGGGAGTTATTGCTCAATGGATATAGAGTTTCTGTTTGGGATGATGAAAACGTTTTAGAAATAGATAGTGGTAATGGTTGCACAACACTGTGAATGTGATTACTACCACTATATTATAAAATTAGAAAATGGTAAAAATGGCAAATTTTATATTTATATATATTGTCACAATAAAAATGTTTAAAAAATTTAAAGATAATCTATTAAAATTGGTAATATTTAAAAATTATGCTAACCTTATTTTTGCTTCCAAAATATATTAATATATCTATTCTTTAAATCACAAATGGAATATATTAATAGGTATAATTTTGAAAAGCTTTAAAATAATCCTAAACTCAATTTTTACATGAATCTAGAATTCAGGTAATAGATGGAAATAATTGCATAAGAAGAAATCAGAAAACTCTTTGCAAAATTAGAATAGAGACAACCTGAAGGAAACGTTGGATATCAAGGAACAATGCAATCAATCAATGGCTTACCTTCCGTGAAGGAGAAATTTGTCACAGTGCACTGGGTGTCAGTAGGAAGGCAATCCATTTCTTTAGTCCTGATATCTCTTCCTCTTGGGTTCCACTCTTAGCTCTGTCCCACCCATTTACATGGTCTGTAGCAGGGTTTTTTTGTTTTTGTTTTTTGTTTTTTATCAGTTGAGAGTTCTCCTAATACGATTTTTAGTTGCTCAACACAGATACCACATAGCAGGCCTGCCACGTTTTTGTTTGGTTGTTTGTTTTTGACAGAGTCTCACTCTGTTGCCAAGAGTGCTGTGGCGTCAGCCTAGCTCACAGCAACCTCAAACTCCTGGGCTCAAGCAATCCTTCTGTCTCAGCCTCCTGAGTAGCTGGGACTATAGGCATGCGCCACCATGCCCAGCTAATTTTTTCTGTGTATTTTTAGTTGGCCAATTAATTTCTTTCTATTTTTAGTAGAGATGGGGTCTTGCTCTTACTCAAGCTGGTTTCGAACTCCTGATCTTGAGCGATCCACCAGCCTTGGCCTTCCAGAGTGCTAGGATTACAGGCGTGAGCCACTACGCCCGGCCAGGCCTGCCACTTTTGTATCTCCTTGGTTTAATTTAGCATTGTGCCTGGCACACAACAGGTGCTTTGAGAGCTGAACCAACTCACAGCTTTCAGGAGACTGATCTGAAGGTAGCATTTCTAATATAGTGAAAGTAATCTACACTGACACTTAGGTCAGAGAAGAAACTCAGTGGCCTGGCTGAAAAGGCTGCCCCATCACCTGTCCTGTCTCCCACTCCAGCCCCTTTCCCCTTTGTGTCATACATTCCAATTTTTCTGATCTACTCTGTTGTCTGAATGTGCTAGCCTGGTTCATAGCTATACATGTTTTCATGCCATATTCCCTCTACCTGTGATGTACCTTCTAACATTCCTTTATAACACCTGAAAAACTCCTTCTGATTCTTTAAGATCCAGGGCCTCTGTAAAGCCTGTTCCAACCCTCTCAAAATAGGGCTGCTGTAACCCTACTCTAACTTGTACACACTTCTATGACAGACTTACCACATTATTAATAACAGCAACTAATAGTGCAAAGCTCTTTTCTAAGCACTTTAATATATTCATCCATTTAATCTTCTCAATACTCATGGGGTGAGTATACTGTTCTAGTATTTTTATAGATAAGGAAACCGAGGCACAGAGAGGTACATTACACTGAATTATTTGCTTTACACACAATACCTCTCTATCAGACTATGAGTTTCTTGAGGGCAAAGAATATAACTTACCTATTATTGGGGTCTAGCACAGTACCTGACATAGAAGTATTAGATAAATATTTGAATGAATGAACAATTACATTGAAATGTATAATTGAGGCTGAACTCCTAAGTATTAATATTTCATGTAAGGTCCTTTAAAAAAACATACAGTGAGCCAGGTACAGTGGCTTGCACTTATAATCTTAGTTATGTGGGAGGTTGAGGTAGGAGTCGCTTAAGTCTAGGAGCTTGAGGCTGCAGTGAGCTTATGATTGTGTCACTGCACTCCAGCCTGTGTGACAGAGTGAGATCCCATCTCTAAACAAAACAAAAACATACAGTGTTCTGTCGTTTTCAACCTAGGATGACTAAAACTACTCTCCACCAAGAGCTCAGAATCTGAATTCTCATTTCCTGCCCTTTCCCTACATGTCTATTATTTTGTGGTAACCCAAATTTGAAAAAGCAAAAGAACTCTTTGAAAAAATTATTTGAAAAGAATGACCTCTGAACTGTAATATGGAATATGTAGTGGGTAGAATTTATTATGACACTGAAATCTTGCTAGGAAAGTGTTATGAAATAGAAATCAACAACTTAGCAATTAAGAGCACAGACCTTTAGCTTCAGATAAATATGCATTTGAGCCCCACTTATTAGCTGTACAACCCTGAATGGACAACTTACTTATAAGTTAATCTCAGTTTCCTTTTCTCTAAAATAGGAATAACAGTCAAATTTACATTATAAAGTAAATACTTAATGCTTGGGTATGGGATAAGCCTTCAATAAATTTTAGCTATTATTGTTATCATTCTTATCTTCCACCTGGGATCCTATACAATGAGTTTAATTACTGATGTACAAAAAAGTATTATAAATCCTTTTTCTTAGGGTGACCCTATAACAAAGAATCTCCAAAACAATATTATAATAAAGCTTACATAAGTCACAATATTAAAAATTCTTCTGATTTACAAAAACACATCCTTACCTTGTTTGGTGAATAAATATCATCTTGAAATAGTTAGAAAAGGCAGCAAGTACTGCTCTGTGGGCTTTGAAGTAAACATCTCCAATAGCAACCGTGCAATCACACAGAAAACCAAATTCTCGTTGCATGTTCAGCTGCTGCAAAAGGACAAGGCTATGGCTAGCAGTGTCCATTGTGGCTCTGAGAAAAAGGACAACATCAACACATATGTGTGTGTATGTATATATACATATTTTTTACAAAATTGCCTACAGTTCACACAAATCTATAGAATCACAAGGAGAGAGACCTAAGTTTAAATAAAATTACTCAACACTTCTAAATACTGTTATTTTTACCTCAAACCTACTTAACATTAAAACCCCCCATTATGACAACTGCTGAACTGTAAAATATGCCCCTTTTTCATCTGGTAAGAAGGTAGCTTGGTATGAGTGACATATGAACAAGAGGAAGGCCTGTCCTTTCCTATGTATGTGACCCCAATGTTTCTAATCCTATTTCCTGACTAAAAAAATGGAAACAAGATAACTGATCCCTACCTCAGAGTTAAATGAGATAAGTTATGTGAAAATCATGTTGTAAGAGAAACTACTATTCAAATGTTAAGCTATAAATGTTAATAATAAAACAGGATATCTTGGCTGGGCTAGAGCTGTCACTGCTCCTTAGGAATCCTCTGGCACTCATGGGACACTGGCTTCCTGACTATCATAAAATATTAGGCAGACTTACCAGTCACAGTAGCTGAGGAACCCTTAAAATAGATGTTAAACCACATCCCCTGATTTACATGGGGCCCAGAAGCCTCATGAGAAAGAACTTAAACCCTGATCTCAACTAAATTCAGACACACATAAATATATAGGTTCCCAAAGGAAGTAGAAGGCAGGATGGCACAACTGGGTCTTAGGGGGAAAGTCCTACATGAGGCAGAATATGCAGAATTCTGGCCAAGAGGCCTACTATGAACAGCAAGGACATTCAGGAGTACCCTAGTTTCAGGCAGGTGGGAGACTATGCGTCATTATCTTCTCTACCCTAGCTGTGCAGAGAGCCCTGATGCTTTAGGGAGAAGGCAGGTATAGAATAAAAGGCATCATTGGGTTGCTAGGAGAACATCCTCTGAAAGAGAGACTCTGAAAAAGAGAATGAGGTTCCCTCACTAGCCAGACAGACCAGTGTCTAAGGACAGTGGTAGAGTATGGGGTTAGCCATCTGGAGACTGGCAGTAGCCTGGGTAGCAGACAGTTGAGAGATCGATAATATGATAAAAATAGCTAACACTTTATAGTGCTTCTTACATGTTAGGCACTTTTCACTTATTTAATCCTCAGTATAACTCTGCAAGAAAAGGAATATTAAATGCCTCTTACAGATGAAGGAGCTGAATCAACACAACACAGAGAGTTAAAGTAATTTACTCAAGGTCACAGTGATAATAAATGGCAGAGCAGGGGATTCAAACCCAGGCAACTCAGGTCCAGAGCCCAAATTTCATTCCTCCCACCTCCCAAAGGGAATATGACCCCACAAATTGGAGAAGCCTAGGGAACAGAGGGGTTACACATAAAGACACCCGTGAGGCCAGGTAGTGGCTCATGGCTGTAATCCCAGAACAATGGGAGGCAGAGGTGGAAAGATTGCTTGAGGCCAGGAGTTGGAGACCAGCCTGAGCAACACGCAAGACCTCATCTCTACAAAAAATTCAAAAAACTAGCCGGGCGCGGTGGCTCACGCCTGTAATCCTAGCACTCTGGGAGGCCGAGGCGGGCGGATTGCTCAAGGTCAGGAGTTCAAAACCAGCCTGAGCGAGACCCCGTCTCTACCATAAAAATAGAAAGAAATTAATTGGCCAACTAATATATATAATATAAAAATCAGCCGGGCATGGTGGCTCGTGCCTGTAGTCCCAGCTACTCGGGAGGCTGAGGCAGGAGGATCGCTTGAGCCCAGGAGTTTGAGGTTGCTGTGAGCTAGGATGACGCCACGGCACTCACTCTAGCCTGGGCAAGAAAGCGAGACTCTGTCTCAAAAAAAAAAAAAAAAAAAAACCAGCAAGGTGTGGTGGCATATACCTGTAGTTAGCTACTCAGGAGGCTGAGGGTGGAGGATCACTTGAGCCCAGGAGTTTGAGACTGCAATGAGCTGTGATCGGGCCACTGAAAGCCAGTTCTGGTGACAGAATGAGACCTTGTCTCTAAGGGGTGGTGGGGGGGAGACAAAAACAAAAAAGAGATGCCCCTGGAAAGCTTCACGTATTTGGAAAGAAGAATCAGGAAGAAACTCAAGATTTCCTGCTGGTGAAATAAATGTAATACAGCAAAACAATATTTGTTTGTTAGCAGATAAAGTCTCTAGATATATAACTGGTAAAGATACTAATTACTGTTAAAAGGTAGAATCTATTTTCATTAAAACTACATATTTAATGTACTAATATAGAATAATCTCCAAGATACATTAAGTGAAAAAAGCATAGTGTACAATTACATAGAGAAGACTACTATTTATGTAAAAGGAGAGGAATGGTTATTTTATTTTTAAAGGTAGGAGAGGAATGAATACATAAATATGTTCTTGTTTATATATACATCTCTGGAAAGGTTCAAAGAAACTAGTAAAATGTTCATTTCTGGGAGGGAAAATATGTAGTAGGGGGAGTTGGGAACTATACGGTTTGAACTTTAATACATTTTTTATTGAAGTTTAATATAAATACATATCTATATATTCCTTTTTACCCTCATTTAAAAAAATTATAAAATATTCCAGATATACAAGTAGGTATAGGGAACACTGTAACAAATACCTACCCACCTACTACTCAGCACACAAAATAAACATTATAGGCCAGGTGTGGTGGCTCAAACCTGTAATCCTAGCACTTTGGGAGGCTGAGGAAGGAGGATCCCTTGAGGCCAGGAGTTTGAGACAAGCCTGGGCAACACAGCAAGACTCCATCTCTATAAAAAATAAAACAATTAGCAAAGCATGGTAGTGCATGCCTGTAGTTCTATCAGCTAGGGAAGCTGAGGCAGGAGGATTGCTTGAGCCCAAGAATTTGAGGTTGAAGTGAACCATGATCATATCACTGTACTCTGGCCCAGGCAACAGAGCAAGACCCTGTCTCAAAGCAAAAACCAAAAAACATGGTAGAGGCTCCCTCACATCTCTCCCTCATTCTATCCTTCCACCCACCTTGCCTCCAAAGTAACCACCATCTTGAATTTGGTGTTTATGACTCCCTTGTACATCATTACATTCTTACTGCCAGGTATATAACATTTAAGAAGGTAGAGTATTGTTTTGCATGTTTTAAAATTTTAAGTAAGTAATACTGTACTTTAGGAATCCTGCATTTAACTCTACATTGATGGATTATTTTAAACCCTACTTCTTCAAATGTAATAGTTTTCCCCATTCCTCCTCCAATTAAAAAAAAAAAAAAACAAAACTCTTACCCCTTACCATCTCATTTTTAAAATACTTTAAGCAGCAATAAAATAATAAATAACAAGGTAACAGAAGCTATAGACTTCAACCTATCCTCCAGAAATATAAAGAAAAATCCAAATTGTGGATATTGTTCCAAGAGGCCATTTAATTAAAAGTCACTATTTATTGTACTTAACACATTTCCCTGATTCTAAAACACTATCAATTTATAGGGGGATTTAAAAAAAACAACAACCCTCTACATAGGAAATTTCAGTATGTGAAAAACATGTCTTAAAATCAATGAAATGGTTCAAATTGAAGTACCTTAAACTAGCCTTAAAAATTGTCTCAGAAAAGCTAAACCCTCAGATCATAAACATTTTTAGCAGCTCTTTCTATTCTATATTATGTATTAGTATAATGAACTATTGAATCATATGGAAATGAGAAATAGCACACTAATAAGCCAAAAAGCTAATGGTCTATAAATAACAGTTCAATTCTTCACTTACTCAACAAATATTTTTAAAAAGAAATTTAAAAAAGAAAAAATATTTGAAAACATGCATTGTACAAGGTATAAAATAAAAAAATAAAACATAAAAATAAAATGACAGATGCTATACTCAAGATTATAGGCTCAGAGGGAAGGTAGAACATCAAATAGTAATTATAAGATAAAGCAAAAGCACTGAGTGTCACATTGCAGTTCAGAAAACATACTATAAGGAGAAGATAAATATGACCTGATGGAAAATAAGGCATTTCAACTGGATTTACATGAACAGGCAGAAAAAAATGGAATGAGTAAAATTAATGGAAGAGGTATGAATATTAGGTAACAGAAGAATTCAGTTTGGCATAGAAAAAACAAAGTAAGCACAAGGAAATAACAAGAGATGGGGTCAGCTCACAGAGGGTACTAAATGTGAAAGGTACTGCAGTTGTGTTTAAAGTGAACTATGTAAGATGTTTGAGTGAGAACAGTATGATCAGTTACTCTGTAGGAGGGAGAATAGCACAGTAGTTAAAGCTAGGACTCTGGAATCAGCTTAAAATTCCAGCTCTGCTATTTACTGGCTGTGTGGTATTCAGATACAACTCTGTGTCTGTTTCACTTATTAAAAAGACAGTATCTACATTATAGGCTGTTATATGGATTTAATAAGACAATGAATATAAGCATTTAGAAATGGTGGAGCCCATAGCAAGTGTTCAAAAAATGCCAGTTATTATCATCATCACCATCATAAGGCCTGTGAGTCAATACTTCTCCAGTAGCAACATACAAAAAGCATTAGTAAGGGAAAGGCATAGAAAAAGAAAGACTGGCTAGGAGCTTACTACGATATCTAAGTAATGGCAGTGGGAATGAAGGAAGGAATGCAAGAAATACATCAGACACAAAACATGACTTTGTAGCAGATTGGATGTGGTCAGCCACATAGAAGATCAAGTCAAAGATGAGTCTCAGAATTCCACCTTGGATAAGTGGAGGAATTCATCCATTTGTTCAGATCATATTTGCACAGTAACTGCCATGTGCAGGCTATAGATATAAAGGCAGGGTCCCAGAAAGCCAGAGAAGAGACATAGAAACTGGCTTGGTAAGAGAGGTTTCACTTTGGCCACAAAGAGCTCCAAGTGTCTACCCAAGGACATCTGAGTAGAAATGTTTAGTGATCACAGTGGTTCAGTAAGTGGGGCTGGGTTAGAGACAGCAGGGCTATAGAGGGAGATTAGGCCTCTGAAATCACCAGGCTGAAGTAACCAAGTACAGATGGGACTACGAAATAAGAGGGGAAAAAAAGCTAAGAATGAAATCTCTGGAAAGCACAGAAAAGACATAAGACAGAAGAGGAGATAAGAAAACATACTGTCATTGAGGAAAGGCAAGGGAAGGAGAGGTAAGAACCTTGCAGGAAGGAAATGGCAATGGCACAAAATAATGAAGAGAAATACGGTGGTGAGGCCCCTTATAAACACCCTCAAGTGTGGTGACCAAGACATTCCAAGTGATCTCTGACAACAGTTCAGAAAAGCAGTGAGGGTAAAATATCTGACTAAAGAGGGTATTAGAAACCAAAGCATAGGCACAGACAGGACAGGACATTGAGGAAGCTGCAGATCAAAGGAAGACCTTTAAGCTGAAAGGCAGCAGTCTCTAGAAGCCAGAAGGGATGCAATCAAAAGTATAAGTGTAGCAGTTAGCTGTGGAGAAAAGAGGGATCTCTTTTTCTGACAGCGGAAAAGAGACAAATGAGATAAGGAACAAGAATCTGAGAGTACTCTTTTAGATGGCATTGATTTATAAACTATGAAGTCAGTCCATATGTAAAGGGGAGAGTTTAGGCCATAAAAGAAACCTGGAGTAATAAATCGTGACACCCACATAGAACACTGAAGTTTACAGAGACCTTTCATATATACTAATTTTATTTCTCTTTCTGTTTCAGATTAGATATTTTCTATTAATCTATCTTCAAATTCACTGAGTCTCTTGTCAATTCTAATCTGTTAACCCCATTCAGGGAGATGTTTTATTTTAGATATATTTTGAGGTCTAAAATTTTCATTTCATTCTTTTTTAAAGTTTCTATTTCTCTGCAAAGATTCCTATTTGTTCACATATACAATCTTATTTTGCTTTATATCCTTGAGCATACTTATTACAGCTGCTTTAAATTTTCTCTGCTAAATCCAACCTTTGGGTCATTTTGGGGTCAATCTCCATTGATGAGGGTAATGGTTTCCTGTCTAGTCATTTCAGATTATATCCTAGATACTGTAATTAATATAGTTGACTCTAGATTCTGTAATATTCCTTCTAAGAGTGTTGATTTTTTTTTGTTTTTGCAGACAATTAACTTGGCTGGACTTAAACTCCAAGTTCTGCCTCCCCTATGGTGGACAGAAGCTGAAATCTCTGTTTTTTTTTTTTTTTTAGCCTTAGGTGTGGTTTTTGGAGGCTGCTCCATACATGTACAGTTCAGGGGTTTGCAAGAGATTCAAGCATAGTTTATAAACAGTATATGGGGTTATGCCACCCCAAATCCTAAAATATTCCCCCTCACCTTCCAGCTATTTGACCACTTGGAGCTGTCTTTTTTTTTCTTCAAGCGAGATTAGATTACAGGTTACTATTCCAGTTTTAGCCACCTCCTTGTATCACCAACTGGGACTTTCCCAAGGTCTAAAAGCTATAAAAATGGAAACATATCCACTGTTGTTCCCCTCTTTCAATTGCAGACCTCACTCTAGTTTCTGTAACTCTCAAATGTATTTCTTAGAAATTTTTTTCCCCCAAGTTTATGGTTTTTATCAGCCGGAGAACTGTCCCAATAGGAAGTACTCAACCATTATCCTATATTAGCAGTTCTAAAACATTTTGGTCTCAAGATCCATATAAACTCTTTAAAAAGTATTAAAGATTGTAAAGAGATGCTTATAATTTTTATCAATATTTACCACATTAGAAATTATTAATAAAAATGAAGGATGGGAGTGGTGGCTCATACCTGTAATCCTAGCACTCTAGGAGGCTGAGGAGGGAGGATTGCTTGAAGTCAGGGGTTCAAGATTAGCCCGAGCAAGAGCGAGACCCCGTCTCTATTAAAAATAGAAAAAATTAGCAGGGTGTGGTGGTAAGTGGCTGTAGTCCCAGCTACTTGGGAGGCTGAGGCAGGAGGATCACTTGAGCCCAGGAGCCTGAGTGGTTGTGAGCCTGGCTGATGCCATGGCACTCTAGCCCGGGCAACAGAGAGAGACTGTGTCAAATAAATAAAAATAAATAAATAAATCATCCTTATAAGATAAAAAGAAAAAAAAAAGGGAGATTCTTGTGGACCCACCAAAACCTTGGACCACATTTTCAACCACTGCCTTACATTATCAGTATGTTTTTAATCCTATGAGGTAGCAGAGCAATTACTATTACCTCTGTCACCGTTGAAGAACCACAGGCTCAGAGAAGGCAAGAAAGGTACCCAAATTAGAACAACTAGCTATGAAATGGTGCTGGCTATACTGGCTGGACTTTAAAGCCTTTCTTCAAAACCCCCATTAGAACTTTCAACATATATAGTGGTGGCAGATATTGCAAATATGTTGAATCAAATAAGGGGTTAGTTTCCAAGCTTATAAAATGAAACATTCAGATCTGTTTAAAAAAACCCCAATACACATAATAGGTTCATTCAAACTTGTTTGCATAACAGGAGACCTTTGATGTTTTTAAGGCAACATACTAGATTTTACATCAAATCAATAGCTCCCATCCATTGCAATGTTATTAGAACATCTTCTAATACAACTTACTTTGCAAATTATTAGCTAGGGTTTTTATATAGCTCTTGCTCATCCTTTTACCATCAATTTTATTTTCTCTAGTATGTCAAATAGTCAAAATTTCCCATGCATTCTTTTT